GGGCAGATGCAAGTCACCAAGTCCTCATTCGCTGCCAACACACGTTTTCACACACATTCACACACACACACATACGCACATTGCTCACTCACCTCCTTGCAGCGTGTGCAAAAGCCCAAGTGTGGCAACACCACCGCCAAACGACCGCACGATCCCCGGCATGAGCGGCACCATCATCCCAGCCAACAACACGTCCTGAGCAATCAAGCAGTGAAATACAGAACAATGACATGACAAGTTAAGGGATGAGGTGAGGGAAGAGGTGAAAATCTGAGGGAAGGCTCACTCTGTTCCCAGTCCCTCTGTGGCTGTTCCGATCTTTGCTGCCCCTGCTTCTGCTGTTGGACACACGACTGCTGTGGCAACTGGCGCAGACAACTTGATCCGACACAACCATGACTGCATCACACGCTCACCCACACACCCACACACACCCACAGAGACACACAGACACTCACAGACTCTCTCTCACACGCTCAGACACATCACAACGTACCAGAAAGCCGAGGATAAAGATAAAGCCAGCCATGGCATCACTCCGATCACCTCGAGCCTTCTTGTCATCCTTGTCGCCCTCCGTCCTCATCCCTGCCGCCATCGTGGTTGTGTTGTTGCTTCTGGTTGGCTGCGGTGTTCAGTGTCGCCACGAACTGCTGCGTCAGCGGGTTCAAGTTGGGAAGAATGGTCGTATTTTCAATAGATTTTCTGCACTGAAGCGGAAGCTGCTGAGCCAAGCAAGGCGCGACAAGCAAGAAGAAACGTTACAATGGCTGGGTCACGCTCGCTGACATTGTCGTGGGGCTGGTTGAGGCTGGCACTGGTGCTGGTGCTGCAAGCGTGTGTGCTTGGGCTCTTCCTCTCTGGATTCCTGCTGCACCGGCACTCCCCAGACACCATCTCCACTTGCAGCAATCACCCACTGACCGGAACCTCTGCAAATCACACGACGGGTACGCGCATGCCGTGTCAGTGAACATGTGAGTGCGTGATTGTGTGATTGTGGGATGGTATATGGTCAGTGAGCATCATGCGCGCGGCCTGGTCAGTCAAGGTGACAGCACGGGATTATGAAGTGGTGGACAGACACACTTGGTATTTGGGGAGTTTCACCTCACACCATTTGGCGTGAATTCCTTGGTTCGTGTTTCATGTCAACCAGGTGAACAGCGGTCATGCTGGCTCTCCAAGCCACCACGGTATGTCAGATATGGTTGGAGTGCACAAACCCTCCATCACCCACACACTCACTCACTTGCTGACACATACGCACACACACACACACACACAGACACACACATACATACTCACGCATGTCCACGCACACATGCCCACACACACCCGCGGACGCGTTGCTTTTCACTTCATGTGAATGCAACTAAACCAGGTTCCAGCGAGCCGTCGTGCTGGTGGTGGATGCTCTCCGCTTCGACTTTGCAACTGCAGTCCCTGACAAGGACACACCCTACACCAACCAAATCACCATCTTCGATGAGTACGTCTTGTACACCTTGTGACCGAACAACGGGCTTCACATGTTGGTTTGCGTGTGTGTGTGTGTGTGTACGTGTGTACATGCATGCGGGGGGGGGTTTTGTGTGTGTGTGTGTGTGTGTCTGTGTGTGTGTGTGTCTGTGCGTTGTTTGGTATCCCTCGTATTGGCGTGCACTGGCGTGCATTGGCGTGTTCTCCCATTCACGCACGTATGGACATGCATATGCATGATAAGGTTGGTCAAAGAGCAGCCGAACCACAGCCTGCTGTTTCGGTTTCGAGCTGATGCGCCAACCACAACCATGCAGCGGCTGAAAGGAATCACAACAGGGTCCCTGCCCACCTTCCTTGACATTGGCAGGTGCGCTTGGCAAACGTTGAACACGTGCACGCCTTGCTCAATGCGGACAATGAATATCTGCTTGCCGGAGCAACCTGAATCGATCATGCACACACACGCGCGCGCGTGTGTCCTCTCACTCGCATTAGCTCACGCACAATCACATACACGCACGCACACACGTACGCACACGCACACACGTACGCACACACACACACGTACGCACACACACACACACACACATGTACGCGCATGTGGAAGCAGCAGCTTCACCTCGTCGGAGATTGTGGAGGACAATTTCGTGCAACAGATTGCCAACCGCAACACCACAACCACGGGCTTTGTTGGCGATGACACGTGGATGGTGAGCAGCGCCTGGCACACTGGCAGTTTGCACTTGAAGCAGCGTCTGCTTCCACAGTCGCGCGCACGTGTGCTCAGTGGTTCGAATGTGTCGTGCGTGAAGTGACGCGACTGCACCTTGCCTTTAATCACCCCTGTCATGCTGCCATCTGACGCCACACACACACACACACACACACACAAACACACACACACACACAAACACACACACACACACAAACACACACACACACGCATGAACGCACGAAACCGCAGGATCTGTTCCCGAATGCGTTTACAGTTGCGCATCCATATCCGTCGTTCAACGTGCGTGATCTGGACACGGTCGACAACGGCGTGAAACGGCACGTGCATGAGCTGATGCGGCAGAACCACACGCTCGTCGTCGCACACATGCTCGGTGTTGACCACTGCGGCCACAGGTGCGGTGGTACAGATGTCATGGATGAGTGGTGGTGTGCTGTCGCGCAGTGCACTTGCAAACAATGCCGTGAACCAAGACTCGACACACACAAACAATACACAATAACACACCCACACACACACACATACTCACACATACACACACACACACTCACTCACGCGGGCCAGGTACGGCCCCAGCCACCCTGCCATGGCGTCGAAACTGCGGGAAGTGGATGCGGTGGTGCGTTTGATTGCAGCGGCGATGGACGACGACACGCTGCTCGTCGTGATGGGGGACCACGGCATGACGCACGATGGAGACCACGGCGGTGACAGCGATAGGTAATGGATGAGATGGTTGGTTGGTTGGATGGTTGGTTGGATGGTTGGTTGGATGGTTGGTTGGATGGTTGGTTCGTTGGATGGTTGGTTGGTGGAATAGAATGTGGTGGCGCTGATATCGCCTGGACAGGTTGCTGATTGCATGTGCGTGCGTGCTTGTGCGTGCTTGTGTCGTCGTGCGTTTGCTTCATTTCATGCGCTTGTTTTCACTCACATTCCCATGCACGCACCATCCCTTCCTCCTCATCCACATGCCCATGTTCGTGCGTCGGTGGGACTGCAGTGAGCTGGACGCCGCGCTGTTTCTTCACAGCAAATCGCAGCCGCTCACATCAGCCGTGCACAGCCGTCGCCTCAGCCAGCACCTGACCACACCACCAACACCACCGCCACCGCCACCACCACCGCCATCATCATCATCATCATCATCATCATCATCATCATCATCATCATCATCATCACCACCACCACCACCATCATCATCATCATCATCATCATCATCACATTGGCCCCGGAGCGTGGACCAGATTGACTTGGCGGCAACGCTGCCGCTGCTGCTTGGGTACCCAATCCCCCACGGCTCTCTCGGCGCTGTGGTGCCAGAGGTGTTCATGGCTGGTGGTGGTGATGGTACTCCCGATGACACAAACGACAACGACGATGACAACGACAGGCACACCGCTGCACGCATGGAGAGCAGCGTAGATGTGGCAGCAGCTAGTGACAACCTCAACAGCAGCCGGAGTACCACCCGTGATGACGACAATGACCATCGTGGTGATGGTGACGATGTTGCGTGGGCTGCTGCGCTGCTTCCTGTTGTTGAGGCGACGCGCGTAAACGCCCATCAAATCCGCATGTTCCTCGACACGTACATCAACCAGCACCCCGACTTTAACAGTGAGCACACGCACTTGCATGCGCGTGTGTGCATGTACTTGTGTGTGTGTGTGTGTGCATACACTTGTGTGTGAGCCCATGTACTTGTGTGTGTATGTGTCTTTGTGCGCGCGTGTGTGTTTACGCAGTACTCTTACCCATGTTTTCTCACACTCGTCTTCAAACTCTCTTGTCTTGTCACGTGCCCAACACCACTGCTCACCCCACGCCTCCTCCCCAACCCTCATCCCTCATCCCCAATCCCCCATCCCTTCCCTCCGCGCGTGTCGGTGCAGTCGGGGACGGCACTGCGTTGTCTGCGCTGCTGTCCAGTGGCGATGAGGATTTCGCCATGTCCCTCCGCTCAAACACATCCGCCCACCACGCCGTGAGCACCGCACACCCATGATCCATCACCATGCTTGCGTTGTGTGTCTTGTGTGTGTGTGTGTGTGTTTGTGTGTGTTTGTGTGTGTGTGCATGTGTGTTCGTGTGTGTGTGTGTTGTGTGTTTGTGTATGTGTGTGTGTCTGCCTGTCTGTGTGTGCCCTCACTTGTTCGGACCAGTTCATGGCCTTGCTCACACCATCACCACCATCACCGCCATCGCCATCCCAAGGCGCAGCACCGGGTGAATGCAATCCAGCGCTACCGGCAATACACCGCTGCTGTCCAGGCCGCATGCCGCCGGGCTTGGACCCAGTTCAACACACGTACGCACGCACACGCACACGCACACACGCACATGTGCACAAGGGCGTGGGGCAAGCGTGGGGAAGAAGAAGAAGAAGCGGTGGTGTGTTTGCGTTGTTGGGGCTGGTTCCCGAGTCGACATTTCTGCACGTGTGCGTACGCACGCATCAACACCCGCACATCCACATCGACATTCACATCCCACATGCATGCACAACACACGCCCTTCTGTACCACCACCCCAGCGGCCATGACTGCTGCCGTGGCGCTGCAGGTGCTGCTCGCTGCTGCTGTGCTCTCGACGGCGGTGCTGGCGGACCCGGCCATTGTCGCATCCGTCACTGCTGTCAATGGCAGCGCAGGCAACGGCGCTTCTCTCGTCCCAGCGACCATCGCTTTCCTGGTCAGCAGCACACGTGTGTCGTGTGTCGTGTGTGTGTCTGTGTCTGTGTGCCTGCGTGTGTGAGTGTGTGTGTGTGTGTGTCTGTGTGTGTTTGTGTATTTATGTATTTGTGTGTGTGTGTGTGTGTCACTCACTCACACACACACTCTCTCTCGTTCTCGGTGTGCTCGTGTGTTTGGCTTGTTAAAATCCTTTGAGCACACCAGCTTCTGCTCATCACCCTACCATGCATTCATGCTCCACCATACACTCACCCCTCCATGGCGTGCCATCAGGTCTCGGGTCTCGCTGCATTCGCTGCAGACGTCGTGTTTGGTGTCGCCGACGCTTTCAACCTCTCCCTCCCCGTCCTCATCATCGGTGCACACACACACACACACACACACACACACACACACACACACACACACACACACACACACACACACACACACACACACACACACACACATGTCTGTGTGCAACCGTCCGCGCTCACACAGCAGCTGTACTCTCGCTCACTTTCATTCAACGCAACACTTCCCAACAGGTGCTGCTGCGAGCGCGTGTGTGCCCGTGATGGCGTGGACACATGTGCGGGCAGCTGTGAAGAGGAAACTGCTCACATCGCTCGATCCCTGGCAGGCAGTCTTCCTCATGGCCATGGTGAGGACACAGGAGGGTTATTGAGCGATCTGCTTGTGCATGTGTGTGTATGTGCGTGTGTATGTGTGTGTTAAGTGTGTGTTTTTGTGAGTGCCGTGCTTCTGTTGGCTGCTTGCAATCACCCAACCTTTTGCTCACAACAACGTGGTCCTACTCGCACGCACCAACCGCACCCACTCATCCACACATGTCCACACACATACACAGGGGCTGCACTCGATGGCCTCGTTCTCCAACAGTTTCGTTGTCTATGACGATCGCGTCACACCCGCTCTCGCCGTTCTTCTCATTGCTCTCAGAGCACTGCAGGCTTTGCGTACGTTTGCACCAAGCACCCAGCCGTGGCTTGGTTCGGTCTTTGTGTTTGAAAAGCACAGTACCCACTCACGTGCAAACACACTCACTCACACTCACACGCACACACACATACACACACACACACACACAAACAAACAAACAAACAAACAAACAAACAAACAAACACACACACACACGCACACACACACACACACACACACACTCACACACTCACACACTCACACACTCACACACTCACACACACTCCCTTGTGCGTGGCAGGGTTCAACACGAATGTGATTCCGATCGTGACTGCTGCGGTCGTGTGCTGCGCCGCTATTCGCCTCTCTCACGTCATGCGGTGCGATTTGACACCAGACAGTGCACAAGGACACATGCAAGCACGCATGTGCAAACCAACGCACACACACACACATACACACACATACACACACACATACACACACATACATACATACATACATACTTACTGTCCTTGAACATGTCCACTTACACCTCACCCATGGTTCGAACCCCTCCCACCCCCCTCCCCCAATTGCCAAATCAAATGCGCAGGGTGTGCCGGGAGGAGCAAGAGGAGTGTGCGCCGCTCTTCAGTGCAGAGTGGGAGGTGTCATTTGGACCGAGCAACTTGGCCGTGCTCGTTGTTGTCGCCGTCCATTCCCTCGTGTGGTGGTGGCTCAAAGCACACGAAAACTTGCATGGTACGCGCAATCACCCCTTTTATTTTGCTTGTCAGATTGGATGCGTATGTGTGTGTGTGTGTTTTCTTGTCAGCTTGCGTCTCTCCTCCCCTCTCCACTACCCTCCTCTCTGCCCACTTCAACCCCCCCCCCATCCACCACTCAAACAACCATCCTCAGGCGTGGCGTGGGTGCGGTACCGGCTGCTCTTTGCGCCCATGGTGCTGTGCATGGGAATGGAGTGGGCCAGCGAGTTCTTGCTTGGACAATCGCGCTCCCAGCCAGACACCCCCACCTCCTCCTTCCTCTCTTCGTCACCATCGCCGTCGCATCTGCTTACAGCGCGAGTGCCGTGGCTGTTTGAGCCGGGCGTGCGTGTGCTCTGGCCGCGCATCGTCCTCGCCATTACGACAGCAACAGGTGAAGCGGAGCGGGCGGTGTATGGCAGGAGGACCGAGCTCAGATGGGCGTGTGCGCTTGTGTCTTGTGTGTGTGTGTGTGTGTGTCTGTGTTTGTGTGTGTGTGTGTGTGTGTGTGTGTGTGTGTGTCTGTGTTTGTGTGTGCTTTGACTGCCATGTTTGATTGATCATTGGGATTGGGTTCTCACCTCCCCTGCCCATGTGTTCCTGTCCCTTCCCTCCCCCTCAGTGTGCTGGTGCCTCACGCGGGGATCGATGACGGCGATCCAGGACAAGCGCGACAACCAAGGCGGTAATGGCGATGGTGGTGGTTGTTGTGCGGATGGTGGTCGTGTTAGTTGTGGTGGCTGCAAAGTCTTGCTCAAGCGCCCATCACTAAACCTTCTGATACACACACACACACACACGCACGCACACGCACATCCACACACACACACACATACACACACACACACATCACCACCACCCTGCCTTGGCCCAACTGCTACAGGCCGGGAGGTGTGGGTGCACGGGCTTCCGTCTCGCTCGACGGCGGTGGTGGCTGTCGTTGGCGCTGCCGTTGTTGACGCGGCGATGGTGCTGGTCGAGGCGCGGTTTGTGCTTGGCCTCGCGCTCATGCTGGCGGCGGCGGCGGCGTATCTCTGGCTCATCGCCGAGGAGGAATTCGCGTCAGTTGCGCAGTCCCCTGTGTGCTTGTTTGTTGGTTTGTGTGTGTGTGTGTGTGTGTATGTGTGTGTGTGTGTGTGTGATTGCTTTCTTCCTTTTGTTTTTACACGGCACACTCGCCCCTACACCCATTCGCTTCTCCGGCTCACATGTACGATTGCCCCCACGCACATGTGTTTGCGTCACGTCGTAGGCGTGTTACCGCGGCCCAGGCGCAGTCGACACGGTCAGAAGCAACACACGTACACAAACACACACATACGCACACATCACACACACACACGCATACGCACACATCACACACACATACGCACACATCACACACACACACACGCACACAACGCTAGGTTTGCCTGTTGATCAGATCTTCAATATTGTGCACCCTCCATCCACCACCAACACCCTCCATCCACCCATCGTCACCATGTGTGCAGGCAACCGAAGTACAAGGTCGCTGTTGACCGCTTGAGGCGAAACGCCGTCCTGATCCCGTCCACTCCTGAAGGTGCAGACACATGTGCAGTTGGTGTCGTTGTCTTCACTTGTTACTGCTCACCTCACTGTTGTTTTTATTACTGTTCAACTTGCTATTGAATGCTTGCAACCACGCGTACAACCTGTGCTCACGTTCACATCCACATTCCACCTCCTCCTCCAGCCCCAACAGATATGCCCCCTCCACCCTCGTCCTCATCCTCCTCCTCTTCGCCATCGCCACTGACATCACCGCGCGCTGCGGATGTGTGCGTGTGGTTTCTCCTCACTGTCGTCTACTTCTACTTCACCGGCCACCAGGCCACGCTGCCGACGGTCAGGTGGACAAGTGGGCTCGTCGGGCTCACGGTGCGGTCTGTGTTGCTTTTTTACTTGCTCGCTTGGTTGTGTATGTCTTGCCTGCTCGTAGTTGTTGTATTTGTCTTGCTTACAAATGTACGTCCTCCCCATGAATCCGCCACCTGTTCATGCTCACCACATCCCCTCCCAACTCAATCTCCAATCTCCAACCGACAGGAGGTGCACATGGGCATTTCTGGCGCGTTTGTGTGGACTGCGACGTTCACAAGCGCCATTGTCTTCGCCCTCTGTCTTCCTCTCCTCATCACAGCCGTGCAGATGGCAATGGTGTGTGTGTGTGTGTGTGTGTGTGTGTGTGTGTTTGTGTGTGGAACGGGTTGATGGATTGCCGCTTCTACGTGCGTTCGTCTCACTTTACCCTTGCTTTTTCTGCCTTGCGTCACACACACACACAATCAACATGTATGCTCACCTCCATGCCCTGCTCCCACCCTCGCATCGTTGGTCAGCCGCGGTCGCTGCTGCAAGCGACGGGACGATGGAGTGGCGTTGAGGGCGACTACTGGCTCTTCACTTCACAGCTCAAGCACACGCAGCGGTAGGGGATGGAGTGGAGAGAGTGAGAGAGAGAGAAAGAGAGGGAGAGAGTGAGTGAGTGAGTGAGTGAGAGAGAGAGAGAGAGAGGGAGAGAGAGAGAGAGAGAGAGAGAGAGAGAGAGAGAGAGAGAAAGAGAAAGAGAGAGACTGTGTGTGTGTGTTTGCGGTGTCTTTTCGATCCCACTGGGTCTCTTATGGCCTTTTCTCGTTGAACCACACCGACATTGGCGCACTCCACCGTCTCCTCAATTCCTCACGCCACTCATCCCGCCACGATGATGCGATGGGCAGCCGGTTTGTTGCTGCGAGCCACGTGTTTGCCGGTCTGTCCATCGTGCGGCTGGCGGGAGCGATGGCGGCTGCACTTGTTCTCCGCCGGCACCTCATGGTCTGGAAGATCTTCGCGCCAAGGTCGCCTACATGCGCATACATACACACGCGCAACTTCTCCTTTGCTTTGCTTGCTTTTGTTTGTGTGTGTGTGTGTGTGTGTGTGTGTGTGTGTGTGTGTGTATGTGTGTGTGTGTGTGCGTGTGTGTGTGCAGTGTGGCGGTCGAGCACATCAGCAACCACTGTAGCTGACATAACATCTCAATGCATGCATGCGTGTGCACCTCAGGCTGATGTTTGAGAGCGGAGCCACGGTGACGGTGCTGGTGTTCCTGCTGGTCGGCGCTTTGATCATGGCACGCCTTGCTGTCTTTGGTCGTGCCGCGACCAGGCAGATCACACGGATCACAAAGCAGCAGTGAAGCAGCGTGCGTTGTATTCGTCGCGTGTGTGTGTGTGTGTGTGTGTGTGTGTGCATGTGTGCATATGTGTGTGTGTGTGCTGTTCCGAGTGCGTTGGGCACATGTATGCGGAGACGGTTTATTAGTGGCTGTGTGAAGCAAGGAGCAATGGCAAGCACACCGAGCACTGTGTTGGGTGCGGTGGAGTTGAAGATGGATGGATGGACGAGCGAATTCTCGTCGTGCATTCACTGCGTCGCAGTCCTGCAGCGATGTGATGATGCGCGTTCATTTCGTACGTGGTTCTTGCCGTGAATGTGCATCTTGTGTAGATAGCAGCGGCAATGCAATAGACTAGGCCATCACAGCAACATCTACAACTTGCGCGGCGCTTGTGCAAAGAGGCATCTCAGACACCACACACACACACACACACACACACACACACACACACACACACACACACACACACACACACACACACACACCTCCCTCTCAGCTCTCACTCACGATTGTGAAGGAGATGGGAACAAGTCTGGTGGCAATGGCTGAAAGTACTGAAGTCGATGGCTGCGTGTGCGTCAAAGTGTCATCGTGAATCACTGTTATCACAGGTGTGCAAAGCCAGGCACCCATCGAAACACACACAGACATGCATACATACGTGCACACGCACACGCGCGCACACGCATGCACACACATTATTTCTTCAGGACTTACAAATCGGGTTCGGCCTCGCTGCCAGTGCTGGGGAAGAGCGCCTGCAACAATATTCACACACACACACACACACAACACATGCACGTGTGAGGTACAGTACTGTGCGCAATGCTGTTGCATGGCGAAGGCCATTGAAGCGTGTGGGCTGGAGCGCGTGTCAACTCACCATGTACGAGCGGGCCTGATCCACGCCATGAATCGCGTACGCGTTAAACTGTGAAGTACCACAACCGATGAAGTGACACAGCGTTGTTGGGTGTGAGGACATCGGAGACACATTGCATGTTTGTTCCCGTCAGTGGACACACACATGCATGCAGAGCTGTGTCCTCGCGTGTGTACTGGTGCATACCTGAGAAGGGTTTGGTGGCAGGTATGATGCTGGGATGATTGCCGTGCCATGCCAGCGTGCCTTGCCATCCTCCGTGCCTGCAGTGCGCGGGAGATGAAGGTGCATCGAATGTGAGCTCGACATGAGACTTAAAACACCAGTGCCGACGCGATCAATCCCATCGCCCATGAAAACGTACGCACATGCGTGAACACATTTGCAAGCATGCATTAACGGGCTGACGTGTGATGTTGGCGGTGTATTCCAGTGGAAGCTCTTGCTCAATCAAGTTGCGTGGGCCGTGCAATTTCAGTGCAAGGTAGTGCCCGTGTGGTCCGAACTGCGTTTGCATCACGCGGAGATGCAAGCGGACGTGGAAGGACGTGAAAAGATGTGGAAGGAACACGATGAAGGTGAGGGTACGCCACACACACACACACACGCACACACAAAGCATACACGCATACACACACACACGCACACACGCACACACGCACACACAGAGTATACACGCATACACACACACGCACGCACGCACACACACACCTCCAGTTCGAGGTAGCGCTGATCGTCGCCAAGCAAGAAGAGCTCTGCCACCTGCAAGCAGTGAATCGGGTGAGATCGAGATGGTCGATGGTTGGTTCGAGAGGCTGGGAGGGGTGGGTTCAGGTGCAAGTGAGAACGGCTCGGCCCGGCCTACCTCGTAGTCCCAGAGGTGCATGGTGCTGCCTGCGTTTGCCTCTGGGGCGGGGTCATCATAGAACGGTGCATCGACGGTCACTCTTTCGAACAACGGAGCAATGGGAAGGGGGTGACGGTGAGATATGAGGCAATGAGCCAGTTGGGCACAGGTACAAACATACGCACTCACACACACATACACTTGCTGACTCACACCCGCACCCACACACACACACACACACACACACACACACACACACACTCTCTCTCTCTCTCTCTCTCTCTCTCTCTCTCTCTCTCTCTCTCTCTCTCTCTCTCTCTCTCTCTCTCTCTCTCTCTCTCTCTCTCTCTCTCTCTCTCTCACACACACACACACACACACACACACTCACACACACTCACACACACACACACACTCACACACTCACACACACTCACACACTCACACACTCACACACACGCACACACACACACTCACACACACACACACACACTCACACACACACACACACACTCACACACACACACACACACGCACTCACACACACACACACACACTTGAAGTGGCTGGCGTCGGATGCCAGAGGCGGGATGAGCTCCACGTGGACGTGCTGCTCTGGGGGCACCTCCTTGCCATTCCACGTTGTGGCAATGGCCGAGCGAAGCACGGGCGACCGGTCTGTCATAATCTTGGCTGCGGCACGTAGGAGAGCTGGGATGCGGAAGGAAGGCGATCGTTGCGTGACTGCTGTCGCTGCTTGAGGCGATGACGATGACAACAGCAACGTGGACCCCAACGAGAGGCAGCGACACACACCTTGAAGCAGCAGGCCGCAGCCAATCACCATCACAACCACCGCAACCAGCACCCGCGTCGACACGGCCACCGTTCCAGTTGACAAGCAAAGCGGAGCGGAGGAGGAGAGGAGGAGAGAGGAGAGGATGAGTTAGTCAGTCCTTCCAGTGGCTCTTCGCTGCTGTCGCTGCTTGTGATTGTTGTTGATTTTCGTGCTTGCCTTCGCTTGCTCGTAACAACAACGCGTGCACACAACACCACCAACGAAGATGAGTGATGGTGCAGAAGGCAGTGCTGCCAAGCAGCAGCAGGTGGAGGAAGCGTGGCGGTGGAGCCCGCCGCCTGGCTCCGATGCGTCGCTCAAGCTCACAGACGTCTACACAGATGAGGAGGTGTGGGGGTTGGGAAGCGCAGGGGGGGGGGGGGGTTGAAGCGGGGGTGACACATGTCTGATTCGTGGGTTGGCTCGGCCAGGTGGGTTGGCGTGTGTTGGCATGCCGTGTCTCATCCCTTATCCCTCATCTCTCATTATCTTGCCACCCACACCATCGTGCGTGTGGTGATACTTGGGCCTTGCAGGTGACGCTGGAGAGGTCTTGGTCGACAATCACGTTCCTTGTGCAGCCCATTACAGCGACAAAGGCAGCGCCCAGCGTGCGGTTGCTGCGGTAAGCGCTTGAAGCGATACAATGGTGGTGCATGCAGTGAACACGCAAGGCTTTGTTTGTTTGCAGTAGATGGGGCCATGCGTGCTGCGTATCTCACGGTTTGTGACGCACGGTACATGATGGCACACTTGAATGCGCATTGGTGGCTGTGCAGCACCCTGATCTCTGCGGACACCACGCGAAGGGTCCTTCAGAGCAGCTTTGGGTTCAACGTTCTCTTTGCCCTTTGCGTCGACGACCTCGGCGTGGATGCGGTGTGTGTCTATGTGTGTGAGTGTGTGCATCTGTGTCTATGTGTGTCTGTGTGTTTGTGTCTATGCCTGCCTGTCTGTGCCTGTGTGCATGTAGTGTGTTTGTGCGCATGTTGTGTGTCTATGTCTGTGTCTGTCTTTGTGTTTGTGCATATGTTGTGCCTGTCTCGCTCTTCCGTTCCGTTGCCTGTTGCATGATCACGCGTGACATGGTACCTGCGGCCTGACGCCACGGCCAACGCCTGACACCGCCACACACCACCAACCAACCACCATCTGCTTGCTGTTTGACAGGAGACCGCCCGGGCCTTTGAGGAGGAACTGGTGAAGGCGCTCAAGGCCGCCAACATCTTGCCACCGTCACTCATGCTGCGCGCATCCGACTACATCGAGGAAGCCAAGACCACCATGGACACCCTCCTCAAGAATGCACACGCGTAAGAGTGTGTGTGTGTGTGTGTGTGAATGTGTGAATGTGAATGCGTGTGTGTGTGAATGTGTGAATGCGTGAATGTGTGAATGCGTGCGTGTGTGTGTGTGTGTGTGTGTGTGCAAGTCTGTGTGTGTGTGTATGTGTGTGTCTTGGGTGTAACCATTGACGGGAACGTTGTCTGGCGCACTGCCTCACGCACCTCTGCGCCTCTGCGTCGTGGCATTCGCTGCCATCATCACAGATATGAGGCAGACGGTGAAATCATGCTTGGTTCCGACACCAACCCAGCGCTGTGGGTCAAGGGCAGTGGTGACGCACAAACCTTTGACGCCTCCTGGGGCAAGGTGGCCGAAATGAATCACGCTGTCTGTCTGTTTGTGTGTGTGTCTGTGTCTGTGTGTCTGTGTGTCTGTGTCTGTGTGCGTGTGTGTGTGTGTGTCTGTGTCTGTGTCTGTGTCTGGGTACTTGTGTGTGTCTGTTTTCGTGCGTGCGTGTCTGTATGTGTCTGTGTGCCTGTGTGTGTCTGTCTGTGTATGTCTTCCCCATGTGAGGCGTCTGCTAACAGCCACGCCTTCATCCGAATGTGCCTGACACACAAACGCCAACCACCACCTCATGTTCCTGCACCTGGTGCCCCATGTGCACAGGGTCGCCCGACCGCCACGGGCATTGCGATGGCTCTCACGGCGGGCGCCCTCGATGCGCCACTGGACATTGTCTTTGGTTCGTGCCTTCCCTGCTCATATGGGTGTGTGTGTCTGTGTGTCTGTGTGTCTGTGCCTGTGTGTTCCGACGACAGTGCGTGTGCTCAGGTGTTGAACAACAAGTCCTTACTCTCACGCGACACACCACTGCCAACACCAAACAACCCACCACCATTCAGGTGGCGAGGGGACGGCAAATGTCTCATCTGTGGAAGCGCTCAACGCCGCACTCAAGTCCGCGTCCGCCGTTACCGCCGCGCCTGTCATCTCCACCCCGGTTTGCCTGCAGGCAAAAGCCACCACCATGGATGCAGACGCGGTTGGCGTGGGCAACGACGATGCGACGACGGTGGCTGAGGCAGCAACATCGCCCCGCCTGCGTCTTGCTGTTCTCCGCCAGTCTGTCTTTGATGACGTTGCGCTCAACGCCGAAGCGCTCAAGGACATTACTCACATTGAGCAGCAGATCACGGTGTGGCGCTGTTGCGTGTGGGGGGGGGGAGGATTGTGGCGGGGGATTGTGGGTGTGCGCGCGCGCGTGTATGCATGTGAGTGTGTGTATGCATGTGTGTGTGTGTGTGTGTGTGTGTGTGTGTGTCCTTTCACACATGTGCGTCTGTCTGTTTGTGTCGTTGTATAGGTCCATGCTTCCTCGTCAACCCGTGTCCTCACCCTTCCCTCTCTTCACACACACAACCACATTCGTCTTTCTACTCCCAAACCACACATCATCATCGCATGCAGGCGTTTCTTGCAGCGATGAGCGAGCAGACGTCTGTCTACACACAGGATCGCTTTGAAGTCCTCACCCAGCACGACCAGGACCTCATGCTCAAGTCAGCCGTCGCGTGCTCGGTTTTGCTTGTGTGTGTGTGTGTGTGTGTGTGTGTGTGTGTGTGTGTGTGTGTGTGTGTGTGTGTGTGTGTGTGTGTGTGTGTGTGTGTGTGTGTGTGTGTGTGTGTGTGTGTGTGTGTGTGTGTGTGAACGGGATGAGCAGCGGCATGTCTCCCCCCCCCCCAAAAAAAAAACCAATGTTTTATCACACCAGCTCAATGTGATCACCCTATCCTTCCTCTGTTTCGCTTCATCGTGACAGCTTCTTCCAACTTCGGCAGGAGATTCACAAGTCCCTGTGCAACAACATCAACACGGTGCGCCTGGCACCTGCTCTCTTCATATCTGCCACTTTTTCTCGCTTCCGTTTTGGTGCCTGTGTGTTGACACGAAGCATCGTGCTGTGCTTCATGTGCACCGACATTTACACATGCTCACACGCTCACACGCGCTACGTGCACACGCACAATCTTGATCCATCTCATATAACCCTCGGGATCACACATCCATCCTAACCTCCCTCCCATACATGCGCTCGCTCGCACACCTCAGGCCGCTGTTCTCGACCACCTGCTGGCCATCATCGCCACCGTCGCCGCATACACCACCGCCCAGGCGGCCGCGACCAAGTGAGCGCACACGCGTGCTTGCGTGCCAACACACTTCCTCACCTGCATGTGTACTCACACTCTTGCACACTCATTCGTAAGTTCACACATACGTACGCACACATACACGCACACACACACGTACACACACACGTATACATCTGCACTCACTCCCTCCCCCCTTCCCCTCAAAATGTACTTGTTAGGCCACTGCACGTTGCGTCGTTGCGGCAGATTGGGCTGTTCGTGACGGGGCTGCTGGTGCGGCTTGGCGTCTCGTTTGACATGCACGCGGCCACCATCGGCTTTGCTGTTGCCGCCGTCGCCACACCAGAGGAGATTGCAGCCCGCAGGAAGGAGTTCAGCCAGGTGGGACACGTGTATGCAGTGTGTGTGTGTGTGTGTGTGTGTGTGTGTGTGTGTGTGTGTGTGTGTGTGTGTGTGTGTGTGTGTGTGTGTGTGTAGTGTAGTGTGGTGTGCGCGCCTGCCTGCATTTCTGCGCTTTGCTTGTGTGATTTGTCGCTGTCCCCCTCTGTGTCTTTGTGTGTGCCTGCATCTCTGCGTTTGCTCGTGCACATCCACAGCACCGACGTGCCCGCTCACTTCATGCCCCATCTGCTCCTTCTCCACCCACCACCGCAGGTGTTTGCCAAGTTCTTTGAGCAGCTGTCGAGCGGGCCGGATGCGGACGCATACAAGAGCATCATTGACCAGGCGCGCGCAGAGGGCATCTTCTAGCCAGCCACTCCTCGCATCAGACCACAGTCTTGTTGTCTCTTCCCCCCCCCCCATGTTTGTACACCCTGGCTCACTCACCCTCCTTCCCCCTCCTCCCATTGCACTGCCACGGTCTTCTTGTTGGCAGGGCCTGTCGTTGTGTTCGCATGTCCCTCGATCAGCGGCGTGCGTGTGTGTTGTGGTTCATTACATGGTGTGACAACAGCCGAACGGGTGCGGGAAGCAGTCACACACGAAGCTGCAGCACGCAAGCAACAGCAACACAGAGACGAAGGAGGGGTTGCGGCAGCTGTGGTGATAGTGGGAGTTGTGGCGATGACAGGTTGGCAGCAGCAACTGGTGAACAACTGCTGATACAGTCGTATCATGTCACATCACATCATGTCAACATGGCAAGGGATGACAGGGTTCGTCAATACAACAAATGACAACAACAAGGCCAAGGCACTTGGAGGTTGTGGTTGACATGAATTAGAAGGTTGATTACACATAAAAGCATCACACTGCTGATGCAAGAGGCAAAACACCTGCGAGCGTGTATGGTGAGCACACGCAGCGTCGTCACGTCACTGCAACAGGTTGCCCGTCTTCTTGGACACAACGACCTCCTGTTGCGGCATGCTGTACATCATGCAGGTCCACCAGCTGAAGCCTGGAAGAGATCAGCAGTGACACCAACTCAATCATGTCAGCGCGCGTGCTCCCACTGGCACAGAGCAGGTCACGAAGCAGGTCACAGAGCAGGTCAGCAAGCAGCATAGAGCAGGCCACGATGAAGTCGCAGCAGCAGCCACCATGAGCATGCCACACGCACCTTGCTCGCAGCTCCTCTTCTCTCCTGCAGCGGGACCTTTAGCAGGGAGGGAGGGAGAGAGAGAGAGAGAGGAAGAGAGAGGTTGAGGGGAACAGACAAGCACAAACACATGCACGCACGCATGCATGCACACACAAACCCCAAACACATCGAGCAAACAAGGCCATCCATCAATATGAGCGATACAGCATTGCAACATGTTACAGATGTTCCAAGTATGCAAGCACGTGTTGATGTCCCATCTAGATTACACACACTAACACACACTAACACACATACACTAACACACACATACACACACGTACACACACATACACACACATACACACACTGAGACTCAAGCAACTCCCTCGCAACTGTCCAACAAGCAAGGCTGCCACTGACACTGACATGGACACTGACATTAACGACAGACACGCGCACACCCAACACAAGTTGACATGAAAAGGCTGACAAAACCGATACGCGTGCGCGCACCTTGTTGCGCACTGTTATCCTCAGCCTCATAACAGCTGCTCTCCTCGTAGGATCGCTTCCCCAAGTAATCTTCCATCTCCTCCGTGGTGTGTGTCTCGGTCAACCAGCCTTGCGTGACATGTGAGACAACCCAACAATCAATGAAGGCTGCGCATTCGAACAGCAGCATTCCCGCCCAAGACGAACAAGCAGTCCTGACGAACTCACTTTGTGCTGTCGCATATTCAGGGGTGAATTTGGGCGATTGGTGGATGATTTTCATTGATTTTCCGGCCCGAAATTCGGTTTGGCGAAGCAAGGAACAAGCAAGACACGCCAAAGCAGCACGAAAGCAGCAAAACAAGCAAGCAACAAGCAAGCAACAAGCAAGCAAGCTCCAACCCATGGCAGATGGCCACCCGACCAGCGTCGCCATCGCCCCGACCACCACGACAACCACAGCCATCACCATCATCACACAGCGCCAACAGCAGTAGGCTGAGATGATGGTGAAGCAAGCGAAGCAAGAAGAAAGCGACGACGACGGCGGCGGCGGCGAAAATGGGCGCAATTACAACACCGCCACCTCGACCGCAGCAGCGCCCATCAACCGCACACGGCACACACGAGGACCCCCAGCGTCCACGACGCCTGCCCAAAGCCAGCACCCAACAACAAAGGAACAGAAGCAGAAGGCCAAGGCCAAGCACAGGCCAAGGAGGAAGAAAACGGGCGAGAGCTCAACAACTGCAGCAAGCTCCACTGTCAAACAGCAACAACAACGACAACAACGACAGCGACACCGAAGCAGCAGTAGCACCGAAGCAGCAGTAGCAGCAGTCGCAGGCGCGAGACAACCAAGAAGATGAACCCGGCAATGGCACACCAGAGAAGAAATCGGGCCACCAACGTCCGTGATAGCGTGAGCGAGAACGAGCCCGCTCGAAATCGTCAGCCACAACCACAGCAGCAACAACAACCGCAACCACAGCAACCACAGCAACAGCAAACGCAGCAGCAGAAGCGACAGGCCAAGCGATCCGACGTCAAGTTCGCCATTGGCCATGTTCTGGAGGTGGAAGGGCACGGGAAGTGGCAAGTGTACCAGGAGCTCGGATCGGGCGGTTACGGACGCGTTTACCAGTGCCACCGAATCGGTACAGCACCCACAGATGAAAACGACGACAGCGGGCACGCGACGCTCTCTGGCTCTGCTGCTGCCTTGAACGCATCGCTGCCGTCATCCGCCACGGTCTCACAGGCTGCCTCAACCACCGCATCCACCACCACTACGGCCGTGTCGTTACCTGCTGGTGCATCGACGGGCGTGCGGGCGCGGCAACCGCAGAACATCGCCATCAAGATGGAGGCAAACTACAAAGGCCGCACGTGCCACCTGGAGCACGAATACCGCGTGTACAAGGCCGCGAACGCATCGGCGCACGTGCCCCGCCTGTACTTCCGCGGCACGCAGAGGAACGCGCACTACATTGGCATGCAGCTGCTTGGCAGGAACGTCAGCACCCTCCGCAAGAAGGCCAGAGGGCAGGCGTTCGACATGCCCACCACCGTGCACGTTGCACGCGACATGCTGCGGGCGCTTGAAGACCTCCACCGCCGCGGCATCGTGCACCGGGACGTCAAGGCCGGCAACTTTGCTGTTGGCATCAACAGCGAGTGGAACCGCGTGTTTGCCATCGACTTTGGGCTGGCGCGCTTCTTCCGCGAGAACGATGCAGCCACCACGCCGCCCAAACCAGAGAGCAATACCGCGTCGTTTGTCGGCACCACCCGATACGGGTCCATCAACTCGCAGAGCGGCTTCAGCCAGAGCCCGCGCGACGACCTTGCCAGCTGGCTGTACTCACTGATTGAGATGCACGTTGGCCGCCTCCCCTGGCGCGAGCTCAAGGGCAAGCAGGAGGTGCTCGAGTGCAAGAAGCGCTACACGTGGAAGGAGCTGCTGCGCAAGTTCCCCACATCGTTCCTGGCCATCGCCAACATCGTCGACGGGCTTGCGTATGCCGAGCTTCCACACTACGACACCATGCACCGCCTCCTCGACCGCGCCGTGCACGCGCATGAGCCGTCGTGCCCGACGCCGCAGCTGCAGTGGGACCATGTTGTTGTGCGCAGGGACGGGAGCTCCGAGGTGCACCCACCAGGCGCACCCAGCCACCGCTGCCAGGGATGTGCAGACACAACAGCGTGGCAACAGGGCAAGCGCGACGGCCAGCTTCTCATGAACACGCGGCAGTATCGTGACGACAACAGCGCCACCACCACCACCACCACCCGCAGCAAGAAGAAGCGTCACGGGAGGCGTGAGCATCGTGCCCTCCGCCTGTCCGAACTGCAAACGGATGACCGTGGTGGACACCCCGCTCGCAGCCGCCATCGTACCAACAACAACAGCAACGGCTATGATGATGACGATGACGATGGTGATGATGACGATGATGACGATGATGATGGTGATGATGACTGCGATAATGATAATACCAACCACGTTGTTGCTGAGGATGTTCTTGATGATGATGGTGAGGAGGAGGAGGAAGGTTATGGCGGTGAAGAGAGTAACGCCGATGATGAAGGGAATGGGGGTGTGCGCCATGTCCAGCACGCTCACAGCCATCTTGGCCACAGCAGCGCACGCCGCACGGCAACAGCAGCCGGCAGCCACACATGCACGCACCAGAAGCAGGCAAAGCGCTCGCCGCCGTCACCGTCCCCACCATTCACAGCAGCAGCAGCACTGTCAGCCTCATCATCGTTGTCGTTGCCACGACGCTACGTGCCTGCCTGCAAACGCTCGGGGGCGCCTGGAAAGGCAACTCATCAAATAACGCAACCACCGCGTGCTGCTGGTGACGATGCTGATGGTGGTGATGATGACGACGAGTGTGATGGTAATGGTGAACATGGGAGGTGGGGGCGAAGAGGGAAGCACGGGCATGCGAGTGGTGGTGTGGCAGATCGCCCACGAACGCCGCGCCCAATGCGACACCGAAGAGCACCACTCGTTGAACGTGCCATCCCACAAGCGCAAGCGCACGCGCCCAACAACACCAGCGTCAGTCCCAACACCGGGAGCGGAGGCAGCGGTGTGCATGACCGCGGCAGCGCTGTTGGCGCGTCGCATTCATCGCCATTGCCAACCACCGCGGGTGGCGTCGGCACTGGGAGTGGCGGGAGCAGGGGTCGCATCTTGGCCAGCCATGCACAGGTTGTCTCGAGCACACCGAATGCCGTGAGCACGTCGCCTGTGCAGGCCGGTGTTGACGGTCTTGGCGAGCTTGGTGGTGATGCTGGCAATATCAATCGTGCTGGTGGGTATGATGGCGATGATGTCTACGGTCGCGGTGACGCCGATGATCATCATGATGTTTTCATGGAGAAGAAGGAGCTACGCCAACGCACCAGCTTCAGTAACGGCCACAACACCTTATCCCGCACCCACAACAAGTGCAACAGCAGTAGCAGCAGCATCTTCAACGACGACGACCGCGCAGCCCGGGTGTTGGCCATACGCGGCGGGCGGCGTGAGGCAAGGCGTGGTGCTTACGGCAGCGGTTCGCCAACACAGCCGACAAGCACGCACACGCGCGGATCCCAGTCGGATGACCTCCGTGGTGGTGCCCCTTCAGAGACGCCAATCAAGGGAAGCGGGCTCCTTGGCTCCTTGCTACCCACGGTCACCAGCGGCAGTATTTGCCACCTCAACAATGGTCGCCTGTTGTCCTTCACTGCTTCCCGTGTCAACCGGGACCGCGATGGAAACCAGGTGGATCCCTGTGCTCCCCAACATCAACACGACGCTGACGGTGGCATTGCTGTGCATGATGGTGGCGGTGCCGGTCGCCAGCAAAGCCCGCACTACCACACGCCAACAGCGCCTACAGAGACACCAAACAGCAAGACGTGGAAGCGGTGGTGGGATCGCTTTGGGGTGTGCGCGCGTGCGCTCGGTCCGATGCCGCTTGAGGATGTGTTTGGCAGCTCGAACCATGTACCGCCGCCGCGGCCGCCACCAACGCCCGGCTCGCGTACACAGCTCGACCTGCATCGTCGCAAGTACCGCGACTGCGAGGGCTTGGTTGAATTCTCCTATCGCGCCGATGCACACGCCAACGATGGTGACCTGAGTGGCGAACATCATGATCACACCGTTGGTGTCGACAAGTGCGCACAATGGCGGAGGGGCAGATGTGCCGGTGCCAAGTGCACAAATGTTTAGTTAGGTGTGAAGTTCTGTGTGTGTTTAGCTGTGTGTATGTAGCTCTGTGTGTGTGTAGCTGTGTGTGTATGTAGCTGTGTGTGTGTAGCTGTGTGTGTATGTAGCTCTGTCTGTGTGTGTGTGTGTTGTGTGGGACGTTGCATTATTGTGACGTCGCCACGGTTGTTCCACGCCAATGTACTGTCCTCCACGTGTTATGTTGCCTTAACTGATCTCTTTATTGCATGAGTTTCCATTGCATGTCGTGTAGCCGTAGGATTGCTGCCCATCCATTCTTGCATGTGTTCTCCCCACAACCCCTATTCGCCTTCCTTACCCCTACCCTCACCTTTTGTTACTTGCACGTTCGCACGCTTGCGTGCACTGAGCTTCTCGATGTGTTGTGATCGTGTTCTTTCATTTTCATTTCCCCTGTGTTACTGCAGTGTCAAGTATGCATGCGTGTGTGTGTGTGTGTGTGTGTGTGTGTGTGTGTGTCTGTGTGTCTGTGTGTCTGTGTGTCTGTGTGTCTGTGTGTCTGTGTGTCTGTGTGTCTGTGTGTCTGTGTGTGTCTGTGTGTGTGTGTGTGTGAGGTTGTGGTGACATTTCGTCGTTGCCCTTACGCCGGTGTACTTCTTGTCGTGACCTGTTGACGCATATGCGCACATAACCCCTATCCCTTAATACACCACAGATCCTTCTGGACTCATTGCTATGGTGGCGAGGAGAGTGTGCGTGCACAGTAGCTTCTTCACACCCACACACACCCACACACACGCGCACACATACACACACACTCACCGCACGCACACGCACACACACATGCACGCACACGCACACACACATGCACATGTACATGTCCAGCGTAATCATCGCTATGCCCGCTCGCCCGTGTCAAGGATTCTCCAACTTGGCGTAGAGGCTGGCGCGTTTGACGACCAAGAACACGCGCACTTGTGTAGGAAGAAAAGGGCGGACTCGGATGTTTGCTGCAAGACGCTCAAGGGTCGGTGGGTTGAGAAACGGAACGACGAGGTCTCTGCCATGCACTCTCACCCGCACATTGCACTCTCTGTCAAGCTCGCCAGTAGACGGGTGCTCGGGTTTCGTCATGCGGATGTCGCTGATCATGGCTTCGCCGCCCATTCTGGTCTGCAGATACCACAGCGGGGTGTCAGCCGATGTGCGACCGTCGATTCTGGTGTTCACTCCAGACAGCACTGCCACCGTCAGGAGCCACTGTTGCCACAGCGCCCACACGGTGCCTCGGCCATGAACCTGCAGCTGCCCGCGGTCGACTTGCTGTACGACCCATCGGTACCATTCAGACTGCGCAATCGCGTGAAGGGGCATCTGCGTGTCATCACACGCCACAGCAGCATGGATCCATTCTTGGACGTGGTAGAACGAAGCAATCTTGGACCGTCGCTTCAGGAGCTGTGTCAGGCAGCGGAAGATGATCGTGGCGTCGCCCTGGTTCACGGTTTGCCATGAAGACTGGCGCAGCTGCGGCGCCGAAGACAGCAGCGCCTCATCAACGTCGATGTTGTCCTCATCGTCAGCATCATGCTCAGCATCGGCCACCGCTTTCTGCAGCACGCTGCGCTGGGGAGGAGGACGCAGAGACTCTAGTGCCGCCCAGATTGTGCGGAGCTTTTCCCTGGCCTTCTCCGGATCCTCTGCGCGATTGCTGGTAATGCACAACTGCAGTTGGGATGCCCAGTGTAGGGCTGCATTGAGCGCCATGTCGCGCATGGGGTCGGCCGATTCCATGTGCTTGGCAACATCGATGGCCATTGTGCACAGTGCCACCGCCAGTTGCGTGTTGTCGTGATCCGCGTCTCGTTGAAAGTAATGCTCAGCGTCAGCAAGTGCAGCTGCAAGGGTGGTGTTTGGAGACTCGCCCGTTTCCAGCTGCGCCTGGATCATCACCTTCAAGACGTGTGCTCGAATACCAATCAAGGTGGACAGGGTTCGCAAACTCGCCCCCTGCTGCGTCGCCCGGGCAACACCGTCCTCTGCAAGGCGATACGCCATGTGAATCAGGGCCATGCTGCCTTCGCTGTGCAGTGCGACGTGTTGACCCTGCTCGGCCAGCAGGTGCGCCTTGTGCTTGCTCGGGCTGGTGCGGATGGCAAGTTCGTACAGTTGCTGGCCTTGGTCGCGGTTGAGGAGGTGCAGCAGGTCGCTGGATGTCGCGGCGAACAAACGGCGCATGATCTCTTGCACCGTATCATCGTTGTGGCAACTTGCCTCGAGTATGCACAAGAGCTGCTCGACCGTGTCGAAGAGGGCGACTGGATCCCACAGGGCACTGGTGATGCTGCTCACAGTGACGGATGCGTCGCGCAGGCGAACAACCGCCGCCTGGAAGAGACTGCGGCAGACGAAATCAGTGGGAAGAGGTGCGCATAGCCGGCTGCCGTGGAAGCGAACGAGGCAAGTGAAGCCACAGCGCTTCGCTTGCAGAAAGGGCCAGTCCACAGCGCCTTGGTCAACGAGAAGCCGCTCAGCAGCAAAGAGCGGAAGGGACGAGTTCGCCAGGCCGCTGGTCACAGCCACAGCCTGCAGAGCCCTTGCCTCGTCAGCAGGGAGCCAGGCAACATGCTCGACGATGTGGGCCAGCACTGCGTCCTCTTTGTTGGCCATCAGGGCACAGCCCCACAGAAACCCTGCGTCTCGGCCACCATTGCTGTTGCCAGAATGGTCTCGACACATGCCACTGAAGTGGCTGAACACGGCCTCAAAGCCCTCCATCTCCTTCTCGGTGAGGGCCCCCGCAAGCTGGAGATGCCTCGTGCTCGGTACGATGCTGGGTTGTGGCAGCTCTAGCTGGTCACGCTGGGTTTTGCGCCGGTGCATCCTCCTGCTGGTCACCACAAACACGAGCTGTGGTATGTCGTGGAGGGCTGTCGACTGCACAAATTGGAGCACTTGGCCAGGTGTGACGTCGTCGTTGTCCACCAGACAGACAACGGGGGACGAGGAGCGCTCGTGCACGAGCTGAAGCAGAGCAACGACGGCACGCCTCTGCTTCTCGTTCCTTGGAATCTTGTACAGCTCAAAGGCAGTCACGGCGTTGGCCATGGCCTTGTTGAGGAGCACATGACGCACCACAGTCGAGGCGCCGGTCGTCCGGCCGTGGCTCACCGCAATAATCCGCTGCGAGCTGTCGTCGCTGGCGATGGCGTCTTCCAGCTCCCGCGCAAGGATGCCGTGGAAGTCACGCCGGACAACACACGAATCCCCCTGCTTCTCTCGCCGCAAGAGCTGTGCCGTGAGCACGCCGCCTTGCAGGAATCGCAGCTGCAGGTCTCGAAGAGAGAGGTTGTTGTCGGTGGGTGTAGTGCTGGACTCAGGAGCGTACATCAAGGTCAGGTAACCCTGCACCGGGGCCAAGTCTTCGTTGTGGATGGTACCTCGGGTGGGGAGGTCGATGATGAGGTCACTGGTGGTTGTGCCCATGGTGTCGGCAAGCATGGGTAGCACGGTATTGGTGCAAGAGAACTGCCACATGTCCACAACATTCAGTTCGTTGAATTCCTGCCAAACGCGATCAGAACCACGTTGCGAGGAAATGCCGACGAGGACAACGTGCGAGCTGCTGTGTTGCAGCATGCGCCGCCATGCCGTCTCGAGAAATCTGTCCATAAACCCGTTGAGAACCGCAGCGTAGACGACAGGCAAAGCTTCATCTGAGTTGATCGCATCCTCAACCCGGTCGTAAACCTGACAATACCATGGACAGATATGGGCGCAAGAGAAACGGGGGAAGGGAGGGGCAGGCATGGTGAGAGTGGTGAGAAGATGTCTCCATGTAAGCATGTCACACCACACCGTCATGCACGCACACATCGACACACGCAACACACGCGTCAACAGACACTCATACACACACACATATACATATATATCGACACACGCGTCAACAGACACTCCTTAACACACGCACACACATCGACACACGCGTCAACAGACACTCCTTCACACACACACACACACAGACACTCCTTCACACACACACACACATCGACACACGCACTCACGCACGCACACTTTGGAAGGCCTGAGCCACTATGCGCCCTGTGTCGTCGTCCATCGGGTCGAGTGGTGCTGTGAGAAAGAGCCTGGTGCTGCCGTGTGCCGCGTTCTGGATAACCTCCTTTGGGGGAACCCCGCCACGCTTCTTCCAGCACGCCTCGAGCTCAAACTCCTCAACATCCACACCAGTCACCTGTGGGATGGCCTGCTTCAGCCCATCGTTGGCGCCAAAGGAGATGATCGCGTGCCAGGGAATGGCTGCAAGCCACACTGCCTGGTGCTCCTCCAGCTGGTCGGCGATCAGGACTCGGCGGACGCCGTTGAAGAATGGAGAAGCCTGGCTTGCCCCCGTCTCCTCCAGGTGCTCGCGCAACTCTGTGTAGAGCTGCTGTTGCTCGTCAGAGTCACAAAAGAAGGACACGATGGACGGCCACACGCTGTTTGCCACGTCGCAGTCGGCGTTGCCCTCGCTCACGCGGGCTGGCTTGCGGGTGAGAAGACTGCCATGCTGTTTGGAGCACACCCGCACAGGCTGCCCAATGGACGTGTCGACGGCAATCTCCACCAAGAACACGCGCTTGTCGTCCTTCAGGACGGTGTGGTACACAGTGACTTCGGGGCACGGGTCCAAGCGTGACCTGAGGAATTGTGAGAGCACTGCACCATCTGTCATCTCGGCTTCATCGCACCCCACGACGGTGCCGCTGCTGTCGACGCCAATGACCAGGTATGCAGCCGGAACATCTGGACGAGCGAGGCACTGAAAGTCGTGCTGGGTCATGCCATCCCCATTGTGGAGGCAAGCAATGTCGAACAACAAGGCACCCGTCTTCCTGCTGTCGCTCAAGTCGCTGTCGTACCATTGCCTCTTGAACTTGTGGTGCACTCCTTCAGTCTGCTTCATGCACAAAGCAGCAGCCCTCTGCTGCACCTCCGAGCTTGCCATACTGTGTGTTTTGAGGAGCGAAGTGGTGGACGAAAAAATGATCAACTCGTCAACTCGCGACGTGTTGATCAGATGTGATGTGATTGTGATTATTGCTGAACACGTGTGGGAGGGGTCTAGGGGTGTGTTATGCAATACATACAGGCGTAAAGGGTGAGGTCGAAAATTTGGGCCTCCAGCGATTCACACAGTGCGACATGTAATGTTCATGTAACAATGTTCAGGTTCACTGTAAACAACCGAGGGTGATTGCGACAGGCAGGTTCCGCTGTTCCTCTCACTGTGTGTGTGTGTGTGTGTGTGTGTGTGTGTGTGTGTGTGTGTGTGTGAGTTCACACCAAAACAATGCCTGGGACTAGTCTACTTTCTAATGCACGTCAGCTGCCTAGCTGTGAATGTCATATCGCACTGCAACAACACCAATAAGCGCCCTCTCTTGCCCTCAAAGGAATGATGTGATGTGATGTGATGTGAACAGATCAAGTTCAGCCAAGGGCAGGCGGGTGCAGAAAAACACACACACACACACACACACACACACACACACACACACACACACACACACACACACAAACACACACACACACACACGAGAGGGCAAGAGCGGGGCGGTGGGCGCTGATGTTGACAGAAGGAAAGAACATGATTGCTGGTGTGTGTTCAATATGCGCGCGCATGCACCGTCTGTGCTGGCGGCTGTGAGATGGATGGCGATTAAAGCGCACGAGGACAGGTGGCGGTACAGGGCTGCAGCGTAGGGGGGGGGAGGAAGAAGGTGCAGGCCTCGCAGTTACTGGCGCTGCAGCCGGTACTGCCGTTAGTGCTGCCTGCTGCTGCTGCTGCTGCTGTTGCTGATGTTTGTGGTGATGGTGGTGGCTGGTGTCGAGGGCTGTGGTGGCGGTGGTGGCTGGTGTCGAGGGCTGTGGTCGTTGCTGGCAAGCGTAGGCATACTCGTAGTCAACCGCACGCATGCACACACATGCTGTGTGTCGACTTGCGACGCCGTCCACAGTGTTCAGGACGTTCATAATGCAGCCACAGAGAGAGGGAGGGAGAGAGAGAGAGAGAGACGCGTGCGCGCACACACACAGACACACACAGACACACACAGACACACACACACGCACGCACGCACACACACACACAGACACACACACACGCACACACACCTGCTATCTGCGGATGAGGTGCATGGCGGCCTCAAAGTGTGGCGTCTGTGGAAAGTGGTCGAGCGCAATGGCGCTGGCAATGCGGTGCGTTCGACACAGCACCCGCAGATCGCGCGGGAACGTGTGCAACGGGTTGCAGCTGAGCAGGATGATGTGCTTGTACTGGCCAAGGCAGGAGATGGTGAAGGCGTCGGCGCCGGCGCGCGGCGGATCGAGCATCACGGCGTCGAAGGTGACGCCCTCGTGTGAAGCAGAGGAGATGATGTGGCGCACAGCCTCCACGGGGGCGCGCACAACACGCACGCGCTCATCCACCCCGTTGGCCGTGGCGTTGTGTTGGGCGGCAGCCACCAGGGCCGTGCTGATCTCCACGGTCGTCACGGCGTCGAAGAGGTGGCCCAGGATCGGCGTGTATGTCCCTGCGCCCGCATACAGCTCGAGCATGTGCCGCACGTCTGCGCGGACGAGCGCCGCTCGCTGTCGCAACCACAGCATCGTGCGCAGACAGATGTACGGGTTTGGGTTACTGAAAGCTCCTTCCGGCTGTCGAAGGACGATGCGCAGGGCTGCTGCGCCACTGCTCCTTGCTGTGGTGCCGCTCTGGCTGTTGCTGGTGGTGGTGGTGGTGGTGGTGGTGGTGAGAGCAGTAGTGTCGGCCTGTCTCCTGCTGCTACCTGGGTAGCTTGTGCCGCCAGTGTTGTCGTCATTGAGCGGCGGTAATGTGAGCACCTCCTCCACATAGTCATTGCCGACAACCAGGCGCTGTCCTTTGGACCGAGCCAGCAAGTGGCAGCCCCACTTGCGTGACAGCCGCTGTGCCTCGTGCCGCCACCGTCCCTCGTCCTCAATGGCTGCGTCGTAGATGAAGGTGATCATGGCATCGTCTGTGGTCGTGCAATGGAAGTGGGCAGCTTGGCAGTGCTGCCACAGCACCTCGTTGCCTGCACCATCACCACCATCACCACCACCCTTGCAGTTGGCTTCCTCCAGCACACGTTCCATCAGCGTGTGTATGCGCGCGCAGGCGATGGTGAAGTCTCGTGGGCTGTGGATGGCTTGCGGCCTCCCATGCTTCCACACAGCAAACGCATACCGCTCCTCGCCACCGTCCACGCCGCAGCAGCGCAGCAGCTGGAACCTGCATCGATATCGGTAACCGGTGGTGGGTGACGCCTCCACGGCCACATCAGTACAGTGGACCCCACCATCATCCTCACACCCAGGGCCCTCACCGCCACCGTCACCGCACGCGGCCGCCCGTAACGCAGCCTGCAGCCTCTCAACCTTGGACGCCAGCGAACACTCATCATCATCATTGCCCTCCATCGCGTGCGTTGTTTGCTGTTTGTGCGTGGCGTTGTTTGGCAGCTGCACTGTTTGTTGTTTATGGTGGCGATGTTTGCCTGTTGTGTGCTCATGGTTTGTTGGTGCATTGTGCGTTGCTTTGTGTTTCGTGCAACAGCTTCACAGGGATGATGCAAAGTTGGCGAGGGCGTGTGCTGCGGCGTGGATACGGGGTGCCACCTCCTCAAGGGCTGCGTCGCTCAGCTGTCGGCCATCCCGCACATAGCGCTCGAGCATCTTCCCGCCGTCATAGTCACACAGCGCGAGCCGCAAACTCAGCGTCTCCTGTGCGTGTGTGTGTGTGTGTGTGTGTGTGTGTGTGTGTGTGTGTGTGTGTGTGTGTGTGTGTGTGTGTGTGTGTGTGTGTGTGTGTGTGTGTGTGTGTTTGGGGGGGGGGGCTTTGGGATGAGAGCAGGACAGAGTGCCAACGTGACAAATGCCAACAAGGATACACGCGTGTTGATGACAACACACACACACACGTACACACAGGCCGTACGTTGTCTCCGAATGCGGTTGCGGGGAGGGTGACGAGGTTGCGGTCCATGACGAGGGCGCGCGCAAGATCGTCGCTCGTCTCAATCCCGCGCTGCTGCTTCAACGCCTCCCGGAACCTGCGCCCAGTGTGTGTGTGTGTGTGTGTGTGTGTGTGTGTGTGTGTGTGTGTGTGTGTGTGTGTGTGTGTGTGTGTGTGTGTGTGTGTGTGTGCACCTTCACACCAAACAAATGCAGCGGCTGCTGCAGCATCTTACTCCCTTCCCACGTCCGCTCGCCCACCTCCCAACGACGCAAGCCCAAAAAACCATTCTCTCACTTGTCGAAGTTTGGGTAGAGGTAGAAGCTACCCTGGTGGCGCGGGCAGTCGATGCCGGCACTGCGCAGTACACCGCTGAACCTGATCAACGGTTGTGGGGATGGTGGGCGAGGGGTTAAGGAATGCATTTGCGCACATGTGTGTGTGTGTGTGTGTGCATGCGTGTTGTGCATGAGCATGGCTTGGTGAAACAGCACCAAGTGTCATTCATCCACACGCTCAAACAAGACATACACACGAACAAACAAAACCACACACACCACACAACACCACACAACGCCACGCGTGCAGCAGTACGCACCTTGCATGGACTTTGGGACGAGGAGCACACCAACGCGCCAGCCGCCCAGCGAAAACACCTTCGACAGGCCCGTCGGTGACACCGTGTTGGTGGGGCGCGTGCTTGGCTGAGCAACGAAATCGCATGCGAGGTGAGTGTGAGTGTGAGTGTGTGTGTGTGTGTGCATGTGTGTGCGTGTGTGTGCGAGCGGTACCAGTGAATCGCACGCCTGCCTAAAGAGGCAGGCCGACGCTCCATGCACGTGTGAGCCCACCATCACCACCATCATCCCAGGCCACCACCACCTTCATCATCATCTCATAGCGCGCACCGAATGTGGACCATGCGCCGTTCGGGGTGACGCCGTCGTAAATCTCGTCGCTGATGACGGCGATGTTGTTCTCCGCAGCAAACCTGTGCACACACACACACACACACACACACACACACACACACACACACACACACACACACACACACACACACACACACACACACACACACACACACACACACACGCAGACACACACACACAGACACAGGCAGAGGGCGCGTATTCACGTACTGTGCGATTTCGTGCGGGTTTGAGATGACAAGGCCGGTGGGGTTGTTTGGCGAGTTGATGATCATCTTCGTTGGCGCAGCGCCGCCAGCTGCTACGTGCTCCTCAATCGCAGCCGCCATCGCTTGCGGATCTGGCGCGTACCGGATGGTGTTGATGTGTGTGTGTATGTGTGTGTGTGTATGAAAGCGTATGTGTATGCGTGTTTTTGTGGTGGTGGTGGTGGTGGTGGTGGTGGTGGTGGTGGTGGTGGTGGTGGTGGTGTGAGAATGACATGGGAACGATGTGGGGTGTGGTGAAACTTGGGGTGTATGAAAGCGTATGTGTGTGTCTGTGCATGTGTGTGTGCTTGTGTTTGTAGAAACACAACGCAGGTTGCGGGGGCGCGAGGTGCGAAAACAAGGGGGACTATCAGGCAAAAGCTAGTGAGGAGAGGGAGGGGGGGTTGATGGTGTGAAAACCTAGTCTCATGCCCTCGTCTGACAAGAGTGCTTTGAACTTGACGGCCGACAGGCCAAGCAGGTGCATCTGTAGTCGGCACAGTGATGTGTGCGCATGCGTTTGCGTATGCGTACGTGTGCGTGGCGCACAAACAACATGGAAAAGAACACAGAGAGCGCGAAAAGGGTGATATAGGATACATGAAGGCAGCAGGGCAAAGAACGGGGTGCCACGGCAAGTCGAAGGGAGAAGGTATGCCAACCTGTGGTTCGTAGCTGACCCAGGACGGAACCGGAAGCAACGTTGGGCCCTCAATCGCAGCCTGATGCACACAGGCAAGGAAGAAAAGCAATGGGGGTGATGGGTTTGAGGTCGTGGACTTCATCATGAAAGGGTTCGAATACAGCGAGATGAACAGCGCGGGGCGTCGACACAATGGAAACACATGTTCGGCAGTCATGCTGGGCGATCGTATGTCGCGAAGCACAAGGTCGTGGTGGTTGCATATTGTGCAACCTCACCTGAAGAGCAAAGAGACCGAGCTTGCTGCCTGGTGTGACAATGACATCGTAGTTTGAAAGATCAAGGCCGTGTTTGCGTTCGTAGAACGAGGCAATGCTCTTGCGAAGGCTCTCCGTGCCCGAGGTGTGCTCATATTGGTTGTGCTGGAAAGCGTCGATCGCCCTTTGATTCGTAAGTCAAGCAAGAAGCAGGGCGCGCGTCGTCAGCATGGCGGTTGGTGCGCTGTGCACAGCGAGGGGGAAGGGCTGTGGGGACCGCAGTGAACGAACACAAACACAACACACACAACCAAGTGCAACAAACAAACAAACAAACGAACAAACAAACGAACAAACAAACAAACAAACAAACAAACAAACAAACAAACAAACAAACAAACAAACAAACAAACAAACAAACAAACAAACAACTGCTTACTGCGTCAGGGACGGGTGCACGGGAAAGGGGCTTTGGCCAAACCCAAGATGCAGCAACTTGTCTGTGGTTTGGACGATGAGCAGCATCACACAAGGAGGAGGAGGAGGAGATGTGAGATCACGGATCGTCGATCGGCAACGACTGGGTTGGCAAACAGTGGTTGATGACGGCCTCACAAGCACACGCACGTAGAAAAAAGGAACAAACCAGCGCACGCACTCTGCACGGGTGCAAGATCGCACACACGCACACACACACACACACACACACACACACACACACACACACACACACACACACACACATACACACACGCACCACAAACACACACACACACACAACCACACAAAAGCGGACCTTTGTTGGGGTGGGCGTTCACGAGTTCGTTGGAAGCCAGTGTCGGGGACAGGATGGTGCGGGATAAGAACGGGCGTAGCCGTGGCACCAGTGCCTGGGCCGTCGCTTTCGCTGCCATTGTGGATGTGTGGTGCAGTTCAGTGCAAGATCAGAAGATCGTGGCGGTGATGTTTTTCAAGACAGTTGAAGCAGCGATCGTGTGGAAATTGGAGCAGCGCGCCTTCTTGCTTCTTGCTTGTGTTGTGCTGCTTGCGCAAGAAGAACTGGTCCATAAACTGAATTCAGTCGCAGTAACGGACACAAGGCAAAAGCGGACCAGCGAAGATGGATGATGGTGCTGGTGATGCGGCTCCCGTCGTGGCTTGGCAACCAGGCGACAAGGTAACAGCTCTCTCTTGTATGTGTGTGTGTGTGTGCGTGCGTGTGTGTGTGTGCGTGCGTGTGTGTGTGTATGTGTGTGTGTGTGCGTGTGTGTGTGTGTGTGTGCGTGTGTGTGTGTGTGCGTGTGTGCGTGTGTGTGTGTGCGTGCGTGCGTGTGTGTGTGTGTGCGTGTGTGTGTGTGTGTGCGTGTGTGTGTGTGTGCGTGTGTGCCTGTGCATGTACGCGTGTGTGTGTGCATGGAGTCGTTCGTCGGATGTCCTTGTATTTGCATCTCCTGCTCTTTGGTGGTGTGACCATGCTTGTTCTGCTCCTCACCCCTCAAGCACACGCCAACATGATGATATTGCTCATGCGGAACAGGCGGTGCTGCACTTTCGAACCACAAATACGGCCACGGGGCATGTGCTTGACGACACACGCAAGATGCACCTGGGCCCCTTTGAGCTTCGGGTCGGCAAGAGCTTCCTTGTGGAGGAATGGGAGCAGGTGGTCAAAACCATGAAGGTGGGGGAGAAGCGCAAGTTCACTGCCGCAGACGAGACCGTGCGCCAATACCCGCAGCTGGCCCGCGTACTGCGCAAGGAGAGCGAGCGCAAGCATGCGGAGGAGCACGGGCATGAGTTTCACGACACGCCGTCCCACGGCTGCTTCCACCACATGGCGCATGACAAGGAGAACGCCGACCTGCTGCTTCCACCACATGGCGCATGACAAGGAGAACGCCGACCTGCTTGACCTCGCGCCCGGCTGCCTCGACTGCGAAGTTGTGGTTTTGTGTGTGTGTGTGTGTGTGTGTGTGTGTGTGTGTGTGTGGTGTGTGTGTGTGTGTGTGTGTGTGTGGGTGTGTGTGTGTGTGTGGTTTTGGTTTGTGTTCGAGTGTTTGTGATTGTGTGACTGTGTGCGCGCTAGAGCGTGTTTGTGTGTGAGTGTATGTGTGCGTGTGTGTGCGTGTACGTTGACCTGTACGTGTGCGTCATAGTACAATGGCTGTACGACAGTTGTGTGTCTTCACGACAGTTGTGGTGGTGTCTTTCAGCTTATCCTGATCATCGCCATCATGGTGCATGCGGGTATGCAGAGTGGAGAAAGCGAACACCTTCGAAAAGGAGCTGTGGGAAATGACATTGGAGGAGAAGCTGACGAAATTGCCGCAATTGAAGGTGTTGTGTGGTACATGTGTGTGGTGTGGTGTGTGTGGTGTGGTGTGGTGTGTGTATGTGTCTGTGCGTTCGTACACTTGCGTGCGTGTGTGCGTGTACTGCACTATTCGTCTGTTAGGCAGCGTCCCGCCCGCCTGCTTCCCGCCCAAGAGTTCCGTTGTTTAATACCCGTGACCTTTTTGAAAACGCCTCGCTCATGCGGCCATTACCGTCGACAACGCAGGAGCAAGGCAAGGCTGCGTTTGTGGCAAAGCAGTACGAGGCGGCTGCGGAGAAATACACGCGCGCGCTCGCCCTCATTGAGAACCTCGCCAACAAGCAGCACCTCGACCCGACACACATGGACGAAGACAAGGTGGGCGTGAACGCCGTTGTGTGTGTGTGTGTGTGTGTGTGTGTGTGTGTGTGTTTATGTGTGAGTGCGTGTGCGTGTGTGTGTTTGCTGTCGCTTTTTTTCTCACCACATCCGGGCCGACTTCGTGCCCTCACCCACAATCATCCACACCCCTCCCCACCCCCACACAATCATTCACACCCCTCCCCACCCC